TTCTTTGTGTCTCACTTCTTTCATAAGTGTTCTATAGTTTTCAGAGTACCTATCTTTTACCTCTTTGGGTAGATTTATTCCTAGGTGTCTTATGGGGTTGGGTGCAATGATAAATGGGATTGATTTCTTGATTTCTCTTTCTGCTGCTTCATTATTGTTATATAGAAATGCAGCAGACTTCTGTACATTGATTTTGTATCCTGTGACTTTACTGAATTTGTGTACCAGCTCTAGCAGGTTTTTGGTGGAGTCTTTGCAGTTTTCTACATAGAGTATCATGTCTTTTGTGAATAGTGAAAACTTAACTTCTTCCTTGCCATTTTGGATGTGTTTTGCTTCTTTTTGTTTTCTGATTGCTCAGATTAGGAGTTCCAGTACTATATGTTAAAAGACAATGGTCAAAGTGAACATCCCCGTCTTATTCCTGATCATAGAGAGAAAGCTCCCAATCTTTTCCTATTGAGGATGATATTAGCTGTGGGTCTTTTGTATATGGTCTTTATGATGTTGAGGTATGTTCCCTTTATCCCTGCTTTATTGAGGGTTTTTATCGAGAAAGGATACTGTACTTTTTCGTATGCTTTTTCTACATCTATTTAGAGGATCATAGGTTCTTATCCTTTCTTTTATTAATGTAGTGTATCATATTGATTGATTTGTGAATATTGAACTATGCTTGCATCCCATGAATAAGTCCCACTTGATGGTGATGAATGATTCTTTTAATGTTATGTTGGATTCAATTTGCTAGTATTTTGTTGAGAATTTTTGCATCCTTATTCATTAGTGATGTTCTGTAATTCTCTTTTTTTTTAGTGCATTCTTTGTCTGGTTTTGGAATGAAGATAAAGCTGGCCTCATAGAATGAGTTTGGAGGTTTTCCTTCCATTTTTCTTTTTTGGAACAGTTTGGGAAGAATAGGTAGTAACTCTTAATGAATATTCGGTAGAATTCCCCTGGGAAACCATCTGGCCCCAGAATTTTCTTTGTCTGGTGATTTTTGATTACTGATTCAATTTCTTTACCAGTTATGGGTCTGTTCAAAATATCTATTCATCTCCTCATTGATAGTTTATATGTTTCTAGGAACTTATCCATTTCTTCTAGATTTCCCAATTTGTTGGCATGTAATTTTTCATAATATTCTTTTAAAATTGTTTGTATTTCTGTGGTGTTGACTATAATCTCACCTCTCTCATTTATGATTTTATTTTTTTGATCCTTTCACTTACCATTTTGAATAAGTTTGGCTAAGGATTTATCAGTTTTATTAATTCTTTCAAAGAACCAGGTCCTGGTTTGATTGATCTATTCTACTGGGGTTTTTTTGTTTGTTTGTTTGTTTCTATATCATTTATTTCTGCTTTAATCTTTATTATTTCCCTTCTTCTGGCTTTAGACTTCATTTGTTGTTCTTTTTCTACGGCATTAGGTGAAAGATTAAGCTGGGTATTTGAGATTTTTCTTCTTTTGTCTTTATACATTTTTTTAATGTTTATTTATTTTTGAGAGAGAAAAAGAGACAGAGCACAGGTGGGGAAGGGGCAGAGAGAGAGGGAGACACAGAATCTGAAGCAGGCTCCAGGCTTTTAGCTGTCAGCACAGAGTCTGACATGGGGCTCAAACTCACGGACCGCAAGATCATGACCTCAGCTGAAGTTGTATGCTCAAATGACTGAGTCACCTAGGTGTCCTGAGATCTTACTTGCTCCTTGACATAGACCTATATTCCTGTATACTTCCCTTTTAGTACCACTTTTGCTGTATCCCTAATGTTTTGGACCATCATGTTTTCATTTTCATTTGTTTCCAAGTATTTTTTTTTTATTTTTTAAAAGTGTTTATTTATTTTTGAGAGAGAGAGAAAGAGAAAGAGAACAAGTGGGGGAGGGGCAGAGAGGGAGACACAGAATCCAAAGCAGGCTCCAGGCTCTGAGCCCAATCCAGGGCTCGAACCCACGAACCATGGGATCATGACCTGATCCAAAGTCAGATGCTCAACCGACAGCCACCAAGGCACCGCTCCATGTATTTTTTTAAGTTTCTTCTTTAATTTTCTGGTTAACCAGGTCATTTTTTAGTAGCATGTTCTTTAACCTCCATTTATTTGTGGTCTTTCCAAATTTTTTTCTTGTGGTTGACTTCAAGTTTCATAGCATTATGGTTGGAAAATATGCATGGTATGATCTTATTCTTTTTGTACACATTGAGGCCTGATTCGTGACCTAACATGTGATCTATTCTGAAGAATGTCCCATGTGTACTTGAAAAGAATGTGTATTCTGCTGCTTTAGGATGGAATATTCTGAATATGCCCCTTAAGTCCATCTGATCCAGTGTGTCATTGAAAGCCATAGTTTCCTTGTTGCTCTTCTGCTTGGATGATCTGTGCATTGGTTTAAGTGGAGTGCTAAAGCCCCTACTATTGCTGCATTATTATTAATGAGTTCCTTTACATTTGTTATTAATTGTTTTCTATATTTTGGTGCTTTAGGTTGGGGGATGAATATTTACAATTGTTAGATCTTCTTGGTGGATAGATATAGTGCCCTTCTTCATCTCTTATTACAGTCTTTGTTTTAAAAATTAGATTGTCTGATATAAATATGACTACTCTGGGTTTCTTTTGATATCCATTAGCATGATAAATAGCTCTCCATCCCATCACTTTCAGCTGCAAATATTTTTAGATCTAAAATGTGTCTCTTGTAGGCAGCATATGGATGGTTCTGTTTTTGTGTTTTTGTTGTTTTTTTAATCCATTCTGATATCCTGTGTCTTTTGATTGGAGCATTTAGTCCTTTTATATTCAGAGTAATTATTGATAGATATGTAATATTTAGTGCCATTTTATTACTTGATTTGTTGTTGTTTCTGAAGATTTTTCTTTGTTCCTTTCTAGCCTTTGTCACTTTTGGTCTTTGCTTCCCACTCAAAGAGTCCCCTTTAATATTTCTTGTAGAGCTGGTTTAATGATCATGAACTCCTTTTGTTTTTGTTTGTCTGAGAAACTCTTGATCTGCCCTCCTATTCTGTATGATAGCCTTGCTACATAGAGTATTCTTGGCTGCACATTTTTCCAATTCAGCACATTGAATATATCATGCCACTCCCTTCTTGCTTGCCAAGTTTCTGTGGAGAGATCTCCTGCTAACCTCATTTATCTTCCATTATGAGTTAGGGACTTCTTTTATTTTGCTGCTTTAGGATTTTTTCTTTATCTCTATATTTGGGAAATTTAACTACTGTAAGTCTTGGTGTTGTCTAACTTTTGTTGTTTTTGATTGCAGTTTTCTGTGCCTTCTTGATTTCTGTGCCTTCTCTTTTCTTCCCAATATTAAGCAAGTTTTCAGCTATAATTTCCTTAAATAAACCTTTTTACCCCCTTTTTCCTTCTCTTCATCTTCTGAGACTCCTGTGATGCATGCATCATTATACTTTATGGAGTCACTGAGTTCTCTGGGTCTATATTTGTGATCTAATGTTTTTCTTTCCCTCTTCTCAACTTCATTATTTTCCATAATTTGGACTCTTACATCACTTATTCATTCCTCTGTTTCTTGCATCCTAGTGGTTGTTATATCCAGTTGGTTTCAATTCTTGGCTACTGCACTTTTCATATTGGCCTAGCTTTTAGGTCTTTTACCTCTGCATTAAGGGACTCCCTGGTGTCTTCTCTTCTTTTCTCAAGCCCACCTAGTATCCTAATGGCTGTTGCTTTAAATTCTGGGTCAGGCATATTATTTATATCAGTTTTGATTAGATCCCTAGCCATGACCTCTCCTTGTTCTTTATTTTGGGATGAGTTCCTCTGTCTTATTACTTTGTCTAGGTCTCTGTCTTCTTGTCTTAGGAAATACTTTTTGTTTACATCAGTTTATTGGAAATGATGTGTCACGTCTTTTGATTTTAAAATTGTATGATTCTCGGGGCGCCTGGGTGGCTTAGTCGGTTAAGCCTCCGACTTCAGCTCAGGTCATGATCTCATGGTTCGTGGGTTTGAGCCCCGCATCAGGCTCTGTGCTGACTGCCAGCTCAGAGCCTAGAGCCTGTTTCAGATTCTGTGTCTCCCTCTCTCTCTCTGACCCACGCCTGCTCAGACTGTCTCTCTCTATCTCTCAGAAATAAAACACTAAAAAATTAAAAAAATAAATAAAATTGTATGATTCTCAAGGCCAATGATCCTTATAATGAAAGTTTGTGATGAACCAAATGAAATGAAACATATCTGACAATTCTTCAGTGATACACCTTATCTTATTTTTTAAAAAGTTTCAGTAGGTTTTTTTTTTTTTAATTGAAGTCAGTTTCTTTACTTCATGTATAAGTTGCCGAAACATTAAGAATAGGCTAAAATTACTTAATAATAAAATGTAAAGAATATATAAGACACAGGTGGTCATGAAAATACTGAAATATTAAATAGAAAATTAGTTCAGATTTTATGAAATCTTTTTTGAAAAAAAGACATTGGAGATTTGAAGATTTTATTTCAAAACATTTCATGATGGGAATAGGAATGACAACCACTCTTGGTTGGTAAAGTGGTAATGAGAAGATAAATACACAATTGAACTTATCAGTGGTAAATGTGCATCTTCAACAAACGTAATTTAAATTTTAGACAGATAACACAATACTCTAGGAATACATTTAACAAATAGTTTTATATATACTAACAGGATGAAAAATGGGTTTCTCGAGTTCTCTCAGGAGTCTAACTAAAATCTAAGTCTGCCTAGCAGTGAGTTCCATGCTTGATTTCAAAACTCTGCTAATGTTACAGAAGTTATAATAATGATTAACCATTTTACCAAGAAAGGAAAAATTGTTTTTCAGTTAATTGTATTTTTTATTAATACTGAAATAATATGTAAAATTTTTGTGTTATGCTGTCATAGCTCAAACATATACAAAGTTATTTTTATCTAAAATGTAAATTATAAAACTTTTAAAATATTTTCCCTTTATAATAAAGTTCTGTTTTTGTTTAATCATAGACAAAAGGTTCTCAAACCATGACACCTTCTGGCTCCCAGAAAAAAGTGAAGAGAACTCTGCCAAACCCACCTCCCGAGGAGACCTCCACAGGCACTCAGTCAGCCTACAGCTCAATGGGGACAGTTTCCAGGAGAAGGATGTGCAGAACCAATACAATGGCCCGGGCCAAGATTCTCCAGGATATAGACAGAGAGCTTGATCTTGTAGAGAGGGAATCTGCAAAGCTTAGAAAGAAACAAGCAGAACTTGATGAGGAAGAAAAGGAGATCGATGCCAAGTTACGGTACCTGGAAATGGGAATTAACAGGAGGAAAGAGGCATTATTAAAGGAGAGAGAAAAGAGAGAGCGTGCCTACCTCCAGGGAGTAGCTGAGGATCGGGATTACATGTCTGACAGTGAGGTAAGCAGCACCCGACCCCCCAGAATAGAAAGTCAGCATGGCATAGAGCGACCAAGAACTGCTCCCCAAACTGAATTTAGCCAGTTTATACCACCGCAAACCCAAACAGAATCTCAACTAGTTCCTCCTACAAGTCCTTATACACAATACCAGTACTCTTCCCCTGCTCTTCCTACCCAGGCACCCACCCCATATACCCAACAGTCCCATTTTCAGCAACAGACTCTGTACCATCAGCAAGTTTCACCTTACCAGACTCAACCAACATTTCAAGCTGTGGCAACAATGTCCTTCACACCTCAAGCTCAACCTACACCAACCCCACAACCTTCTTACCAGTTACCGTCACAGATGATGGTGATACAACAAAAGCCACGGCAAACTACATTATATTTGGAGCCCAAGATAACTTCAAACTATGAGGTAATTCGCAACCAACCCCTGATGATAGCACCTGTTTCTACTGATAATACATATGCTGTTTCCCATCTTGGGAGTAAGTACAATAGCTTAGACTTGAGAATAGGCTTGGAGGAAAGAAGTAGTATGGCAAGCAGTCCAATATCAAGTATATCTGCAGATTCTTTCTATGCAGATATCGACCATCATACTCCACGAAATTATGTCCTAATTGATGACATTGGGGAGATTACCAAAGGAACAGCAGCATTAAGCACTGCATTTAGCCTTCATGAAAAGGATCTGTCAAAAACAGACCGTCTTCTTCGATCCACTGAAACTCGAAGGTCTCAAGAAGTGACGGATTTCCTAGCACCTTTACAGACTTCCTCCAGGTTGCATAGTTATGTGAAAGCAGAGGAAGACCCCATGGAGGATCCTTATGAGTTAAAGCTTCTGAAACAACAGATTAAGCAAGAATTCCGTAGAGGAGCAGAGAGCTTAGATCACCTTGCTGGTCTTTCCCATTACTACCATGCGGATACTGGCTATAGACATTTTCCAAAATCTGAAAAGTACAGCATTAGTAGACTCACACTTGAAAAGCAAGCAGCAAAACAACTACCAGCAGCAATACTTTATCAAAAGCAGTCAAAGCATAAGAAATCACTAATTGATCCTAAAATGTCAAAATTTTCACCCATTCAAGAAAGTAGAGACCTTGAACCTGACTATTCAAGCTATATAACTTCCAGCACTTCATCTATTGGTGGCATTTCTTCCAGAGCAAGGCTTCTTCAAGATGATATCACTTTTGGCCTCAGAAAAAATATTACGGACCAACAGAAATTTATGGGCTCATCTCTTGGCACAGGACTGGGCACATTAGGAAATACGCTACGTTCAGCTTTGCAGGATGAAGCAGACAAACCATACAGTAGTGGCAGCAGGTCCAGGCCTTCTTCCAGACCTTCGTCTGTCTATGGGCTTGATTTATCCATTAAGAGAGATTCTTCCAGCTCCTCCCTAAGACTGAAAGCTCAAGAGGCTGAAGCTCTAGATGTTTCCTTTAGTCATGCTTCATCTTCTGGCAGAACTAAGCCTACCAGTTTACCAATTAGCCAGAGTAGAGGAAGAATACCAATCGTGGCCCAGAATTCTGAAGAGGAAAGTCCACTCAGTCCTGTGGGCCAGCCAATGGGAATGGCCAGGGCTGCAGCTGGGCCCCTCCCACCAATATCTGCAGACACCAGGGATCAATTTGGGTCAAGTCATTCATTGCCTGAAGTTCAGCAACACATGAGAGAAGAATCACGAACTAGAGGCTATGACCGTGACATAGCGTTCATCATGGATGACTTCCAACATGCCATGTCAGACAGTGAAGGTAAATTGGGCCTCAAACTACCTTGTTACTCTCAAAACTCAAACTCTTATTTTTCTGCATGTTTAATTTTCCTGCTCCAAGGATGTATTCTACCTTTCTTAGTGCGTCTTTTGCATGTTTACTTCAATTTTATTTCTTGTAAATGGAAACTTGATCTTGTGTATAGATTTCCTAGCATGCTTTCCGTTATTTCTTTTTAGTTTATTATTTTAGTGTTGTTTCTTGATTGTTTGCTTGATTCGTTTGGTGTCCACTTTTCCGAAACCATTATTAAGTAATTGTGTCAATAAAATATGGTCATCCCTTAATTCCATAGTCGGAAAGTTTTTCATTGTATGTTTCTTTTAGTTTTTAAAAATGCATTTCTAAATACACTGGTCAGTTTCTTTCAGTTTGTAAAATTACTAAGCTTTAGGACCATTAAGTACTATTTTGCTAGATTTTGTAATATTGAAAAGTATTTGTGTTCTTCTTGTGATATTATTGTTTATTAATTCAGAGAATGTTCTCCTTTTGAGAATCTTTGGCTAAGGACCTGATAATAACATAATGTAAATTTTATAATTCTCCTTAAATAAAAGATTCATATTTTATTTCTCTCACTATGAATTTTGTAATTGACAAGTTTGTGCATTTTGCATTACATACTAGAAAACTTAGCAGTAAATATGATATTGACAATAAATAACCATAGCAGTATACAGGAAGCATTCTTTAGATTTAGGATAAAACATTTGTACACTACTTTTGTAACAAGGGAGGAGACTTACAGGAATACAAAGTGTCCTTTACATTGCCAAGAAGACTCATGACTTCTGGTTCTTTTTTTCTCCCTCCTCTATGGCTTACATTTGAACGTAGGTATGGTTTGAGTCTTGGAAGTAAAACATTTCTCATCAAATAAAAGCATTATTATTCATGTCTTTGAAGACTGTAGAGCACTAAGCTAACATGAACATCTTATATTTTAAACCTGAAATTTTCACCAAAGACTCACAGGAAAATATGTGTTCATGAAAAGAATTTTCTTTCTACTTCTGTATCTAGACACTGATAAGATTTTAGAAATTCAAATCTAGATTTGAATAAGATTAAGATAAATCACTGGATCTGAAAGTGGACAGACTCCTCTTAGTGATATTCCAACAGACTAGTTACTTTCTGGTTTATTTTCTTCCTTACAGGCTATTGGATTGACCATTTTTATTGATAATTATTCAATTAAATAAAGCACTCTTTGTATATTTTTTTATTTAGTCAATTGTTTGACTCTCTCTAGTTAAACAAGGGTTATGATATTATGTGAAAACAATTTCTTTCTCTACTTTTTTCACAAAACACATTTTACACACACTTTATGCATATAAAACAATTGCACAGAAGAATAAAAAAATCTTTAATAAACATATTGGTAAAATAACAAGATAAAACAAAAACTCCAACAGGTTTGTGGCATAACTAAACACCTAACGCTGTGTGTGTACATATATTTGAGAGGATTTGACAAGTTCATTTATTCATCATGGAGTTTTGTCAACATAGTACCAGACATATAGGTGTTTCTAGATATTCTAAAATGTGTTTGTTTACATACAACCCTAGAAAAATAACCAAATATTTTATTTCACATTTATATGTTTGGATGACATATAATCATCAAGGGCTGTATGAGAAATATTATTTTCCTAAATTAGATGATGAGATGGCATGCAGCACACAATATTATAAAATGTATAAAGATATCAAAGAAATAATTAAAATTTAATGTAAATGAAATTACACAATTAAACTAAAATGTATTTAAAAACAAGATAAGAAATGTAGTCATAAAGAACATGCTGATACAGAATTAGACAAAGGGCAGCTATAACAATTTGAATTACATATGTAACATTATGTGTATGAATTGTAGTGATTGTCCTTCAAAATTGAATGTTTTAAAACGTTAGTTATTTTCTTTGCTTTTTAAATCACATGAACATATTACTTTTCTTCTGGTAAAGTGATGCCAACTTTTCTTTTGAAATCTTGGATTCCTTGGGTAAGGGAAAAATTAGAAAATATTTTTCCTAATTACATAACTCATTTGTGAGCTAATGAAATATTAAGAACTCTTAAAATAAATTTTTGCCAAATATATGCTGTATCTGTAATTCAGTGATATGAATATCACTTTGAGAAGTGTTAACATTCTAACAGGTTATTTAGTATTGAGTAGACAAAAGCAAATTAATTGATTTTAAATTGCGTGCTCTCTCTGAATTCAGTTACACTCTAGGTTATAGATTTTAAGAATATTTTGTCAGATGTGTTTTATATGACTTTGGTTAACTTGAAATAGCTCCCTTGAGATAAAATCTAGAGAAGCATAATTTGCACTGCTTAGTATTTACAGCCTTAAGGTTGAAGTCCACAATTTGACGTGCATGCGCATGCGTGGTTGATTACCTACATCTAGAGCAGAATGTCTTTGCTTTGGAGCAGATTTAGAGGGAAGCTAAGCTAAAAACAATCAAGTATATTTATTTATACAAACACAAATATTTTCTTGAAAACATTCTTTCAAAGTATACTCCAAACCAAAAATAAATAATAAAGCATTAATAGTGTCTTTTAAAATTATTGTTTTAATCTGTGTGTAATACTGAATACAGTTGAACTATCCATATAACTGTTGCCTGTGGTTAATGCTAGACCCCCTAATAGCTCACTTTTAGTTTATATTTAAGATTTCAAGAAAATATCATTAGTTGAAAACAGGTATTTATCCTTAACAAATTATTTAAGCTAATAAAATATTTTCATAAAATTTAATTTTTTTAGTGCAGACCTACCATAGGAGATCACACAATTGGAGTTGTAAGCAACTAGCATTTATATCCAGTTTGCTATAAATTATGAAGAAGACATACAATTTAAAAATAGGTTCATTTACTCTGGTTCTACTTGATCGATCTATAAATTGCTATGCAAAGTATGACAGATATCCTTAGGTAACAAACTGTGGACAAAGTATGTAATCAGTAATAAAGTGACAAAATTTGGATCAGGTTGAGATTCTGTTTTATTTGTATAGACATAGCCAAGGAAACATGATTTAAAGGATTGTGTTTCAAATGCATTTGGCACAGTTACATATTCAAGTGAAATCATGTACTACATCATCCAAAATACTCATTTATTAAAATTAGCATAGATTTTTTTATGAGAAATTAAAAAAAGAAATAAATAGGGATAGTAAGAAGTAAGATAATACAGTGTTACTGTGGTTGGGGATAATCTAATGTTTAGAGACAGATGATTAAATTATAAGTTTGGTATTTGCTTATCAAATTTCTTTTATATTATTTTTTCATAAGTTAAGTTTTTTAGTATAAAGTTAGAACTATTAAAAACCTTAATAGATTATCAAAGAGATTGTGAGTAAAGGTTGTGTGACTATTAGTGAAGTTCAAGGGCCAAATTAATGGTTTTTAATGTGTGTATCATAATTAGGATATTTAACTTCTTTCTCTAGTTGATGATTAATTTTTCTATTTAATCACCTCCCAAACATCTGTTCAATTTTATGGTCTTTAGAAGACATTGTTTTAATGTTGAGGGAGGGGGAAAAAAGAAAAAGATAATATGAGCCTTATCCTCAAGCAGCTTAGAATCTCCTATTAGAGATCAGAAAAGCACGTATACAACCACACACCAGGTAGGTAACATTGGATTTCCTCAAAACGAAGACTGACTAAATTATGACACATCATCAGTCATCATACTTATTGAGGGAAAATGCTATGGTTAATCACAGGAGGTGACCACGGGACCCAGATCACAGGAGGTATGGAGGTGAGTAGTGGCATATATGCTTTCGGTTTGCCAATCCTACCAGCAAAGATAGAATGGAAATTGCCTGGGGAAAATAAGAAGTGTTGGGAAGTTTTGGAAGAGAGGACAATCAAGGATGCAGACAGAAAAAGAAAACTCTGATGAGTTAGGAGAACTCAAAAGTGTGGCATGGTGTGTGCTAGAATTTATAGAAAGCCTAAGTTTATAGCACCATCAACGAATCTTTCAGCACAAGAACTTGAGAAGGACTGCTCCGTCTGCCATTTAGGAAACAGCAATATATTTCCAGAGATCGTTTTACAAAGTAGGGATCTTTTTGCAAAGAATAAAACTTTATATGAAGTCAGATTCGGTATATTAGGGTGAATAGGATTTTTGGGCACCAAGTAATAGCTTTAAAAGACGTTGTAAGTACCAAGAACTGAATGGGCTGAAAAATTTTAAATAAGTGCGTCCTTAAATATGGTTGCATTTCAAAAACATTATTTTAAAATGTCAAATTTTACCTATAAGAGCAGTCAATCAACTCTTCAGTCAAATTCCTAAATCTATGACCGCATGGAAAATAATTATTTAATTTTAATAAAATATTATAAATATATTAGGCTACCACATGAGTATGGCACACATGTTCCTCACAGTAGTGCCCGGGATCCTCTTAGAAAAAATGTTTGGTGTATTTACTGAATGTCATAGAAATGTCATGTTTTCAAAAATACTCACTTGGTTTTCAAAGCCAGCAGCCACAAAGTAGTCGTTGATATAATAGTAGGAAAGTGAAAGAATCTTCTGTACTGAAGGAAGACATTTTCCTTAGATTTTAGTGATAGGTGGAGGTAGTGGGGGAGAGGTGAAGAGGTAGAAACTAAAGGGTTGAGGTTGAATAAAGTAACTTCTGAGGCATATTCACTTGTTCATTGATTCAGTCACTATTAAAATTTCTTCTCATTTAAAATTTAATTTTGTTTTATTTTTCTCTGAGAGATGTGTACATTATGTTTCTAAGTTATTCCATAGTACAAAATTTTTATCATCATATTGGAAATGATTTTTCTCATCCTATTGGGAGTTGTATTTGAAATGCATGAATAGTTAACAAGCCTGGAGCATGTTAGTACTTGAGAACATTTTCTGTCCTCTATCTGTATTAGCTGTGGTTGCAATGTTTGATATTTCCTTGGTCTCCAAAGCCTATCATCTGCGTCGTGAAGAAACAGATTGGTTTGACAAACCCAGGGAGTCTCGTTTGGAAAATGGACATGGTCTGGATCGCAAACTTCCAGAAAGACTGGTCCACTCTAGACCACTTAGTCAACATCAAGAGCAAGTAAGTGCTATATTGAGCAATCTCTTTTAGATTTATCCCCCACTGCCACAAATAATTAGTATCTCAATCAGTCAATCAAGCAATCATCCTAGAATGGTCTCAGTCTCATTTATCCTAAAATGTGTGGGACTTCTGTCAGTCAAGTGCATAAAAAAAAAAAAATGTTTTTAGTAACTTAAAGTACTAAGTACCTTGTGTATCATCCATACTGTCAACATTGCAGCATAGCCATAGCACTTCTTCTGGGCAATTTAAGTGATTCATTCCTCCAAAAGATAAGTAAATTTGTACATTCCCAACACTGTTTTACCAGGAGAATGCATGTAGCTCCTAAAGAGCTTACAGAATATTGGGTAAAGTAGATTTGGATAATTTCAGTGCTTTTTGGTAACAGTGTGTTCAGGTGTTAAGAAATACAGCAAATAAAGGAATGACCAAACCAAGTCAGCTGGGACAGGGGAGGCTTCACTTTGAGAAAGAGGAGAATTTATATTTTAGTCAATTATGAAGACATGTTATTTTTATATTGTCTATGTATTTTATCATCAGAAAAACTCATAAAGTAGATAATATCTATCTATAGGGGAAACTAAACATAGATACAATTAGATAAATATGTTACCAAAATCCCTGGTCATATTCACTTAAGAACAAATGAGGTGATTTTTGCATGCATTGTGAAAGACACTTAGAGATCAACTGTCGGATAAACTGAAGAAGATTCCTCTGGTAAGCCCAGTGGTTTTAAATCAATTGCCTTAAAGATCAGATATTTTCGGGCTGTGTACCCATAATCATTAAAATACCCACAGAAGAAATAGTTGATTTCATATACATTAATTCCCCAATCATCCTGTCTGATTAGTGACTCTCTGATATAGAAGACAATTATTTTGAACGGCAAAGGTAAGCCATATAAACTTACTGTAATTTAGTTCAATGTTTGTCACATTAAAGTATGAAAAAGATGACTTTGCACCTATAAGTACTATTGAAAAGATGATATCTATACTCAAATTTTCTTTCTCCCAAAGAAGTTTCAGTTTTCCTGGATAAATTTCTAGCTGCTAAATAGGATTTCTTTATCTCAAGATTTTGTTCTGTTTTGATTTTATATATCATATTTTCTAGAAATCTTGGAATTCTTCTATGCACAAACATTCTCTTTTAGTGTTTTTGATATCTTTAATAAGATTTTGGCTTAGCCCCCCCCCCTCCGCCCCCTTCCATTGGTAACCATGGGTGGGTAGATGGGTCATTCAGGATAAGGGGATTAAGGAACACACTAACTGTAAATGAGTAAACAAACAAACATCAAATAAAATATTTTGAAAAAAGATATTGGTTTAGGATTGTGTTTACCTCTATATACGTGTCCATACACTTTCATTTCTTTGTACTTCATTAAAATGTATCAGGGAATTGAAATATACTTTTCTTAACTTACCTTGTTATTATTAAAAATGTAAATATAGCTGTAGTTCAATCTCTTCAAATAGAACAGGCTAGAGAGCAAGAAAAATTAATATAATCATTCTGAACATGTTTATGAAGCATAAATTTACCTCTTTTTATCTACAGTTACTAGAATAATAAATCTGTCAGCTAAAAATAGCTTCCTTGAATATATTTCAGTATGAGGTTCTCTCATAATGACATACTTTTTAATCTTACCTGTCTCATTTGTTTCTTTGAAGTTTAGTATTTCCCACAAACTTACATCAGGTCAATAAAAACACAAATCCTTTAAAGAAACCTTAATAAAATGAAATATATAAACTACAGAGCTAGAAAATAACTTTCATACAATTATTTCCAGACACTGTTTCCATAGATGCTTAGAATGTCTTATCCAACTAATTTATTCAACCAATATTCTTGGAGGATACATTTTAACATAATCTGTGTCCAGCTCAAAAAATATTTTCTAAAATCCTATTGTATGTAGATGAAAAATTAATAACCTTGATTTTTAATTTTAATTTTCTATTACTAACATCTTCCCATTTGTGATTTTAATCCACTGAAGATGAGGACATAATGCATTCTGTGTAAACAAAATATATTTATAAACCAATATAATGCCAAAATTAAGCAGAGGGAGTATATTTAAGAATCATTTCATGAATTTCTTTCTGTTTTTTATAAGGAGGAAATGTAAGCATCCTTGTTAGAATTATTTTTAGGGAAATGTAATAAAGTAATGAGGTTTTTTTGTTAAAAGGTTTTTTTTATGTTTATAGGTTTATTACATTTTTGAAATTCGTTAATTTTGAAAGGGGGGGGGGGAGAGAGAGAAAACAAGAGAGGAAGACAGAGCATGGGCAGGGTAGGGACAGAGAGAAATGGAGAGAGAGAATCCCAAGCAGGCTCTGCACTGTCAACCCAAAGCCGGACATGGGGCTCAAGCTCATGAACCGTGAGATCATGACCTTAGCCAAAATCAAAAGTCAGACACTGAACTGACTTAGTCACCCAGCCACCTCAGTTGATTACATTTTTTATTTTGATGTCTAACATACAAATAAAAAACTACATATACAGTTACCAAAATTGCAAATATACAGAATTTTAAACTAGTTATAAAGTGCACAGCCATATAACCAACATACAGACTGAGAAAGGGAACATTGCCTGCCCCCCCCCACCACCTTGTGCCCCTTCCAGATTGTAATCTTCAACCTCTTCCAAAAAAGTAACAAATACGTAACAAAAGTGACAGATTTTGTGACACTGATTGCTTTGATTTCTTTATAGTTTTTTCTCAACAGAAGCTACACAGAAGACAACATATGCTTTGATTACATTTACATAAAGTTCAAAATTAATGTTTTTGTATTAATATTTATCTTCAAATACTCTTTGTCATTAACGTATCATAACTGTTTTTTGGTCTAGAGAGAGTAGCCAAATGGCATTCTCATTTTATTCACTTGTTTGCATCTCTATTCATAAAAAGGTAATATCGAGCTCTTGGTACTAATAAAGCTGAATGCCTGTATTTGGTAACTTATGCATATCAAGAATTTATACTCATAAAATACTCTGGAGGCAAAGGAATAAACCCAGACTGACTAACCAAACATTAATTTCTGGGGTTTGAAAATATCTTATGTAAAAATACAAGAGAAACCCAGAAAATTTTTTCTGAATATATATTAAACTCAAAATCATATTATTATATAAATATGTATTATATATATATACTTTGAAAGAAAACAAATATAGATTACCCTTCTTTACCTCATCTCAAAATAGGACCAGTGCCCTTCACAGGGTGAGTATAAAGGTCACCACTTCCTGTCTAGGGCCACATGCTTCCGTTTCCTGCACTAATACAGGTGTCTTCTGCAGTCGTCATGCAGCTGCAATATTGAGGTACATTAAACCCCTCTGAGAAGGCCACCCTGCCCTTATATTCTAGGCCTTTGGATGTCTCGTTTCCTCTCCCTGAGTCCTCTTCCTCTTCTCATCCATTGGCTAACTCTAGTCATCACTTAGGTCTCCATGTCATGCCCTTTCTTACAAGAAGACTTCTCTCACAGTGACCACACATCGGGGCAAGTGTTCTTCCTTTGCGCTCGCATAGTTTTGCAGGCATTATGTCACAGTCTCTGAGCTCCTCGAGAGCAGGGACCCCCGATTCCATACACCACAGGGCCTAGCACAGTACTTGGAACACAAGAAAGACGCTCTCTTCCCTGCATCTCGCATGCATGGGATTTAAGAGAGGGAAAGGATGAGTGTCTGTGTGAATAACAGATATGTTACCACAAGAGTTATCATTTCATAAGTTTGAAGGCTCAATTACTCGTGAGAATGCGTAGGAAGGAACAATAATCCTTTGGCTGGGAGGCATAAAAATGATAGTTCTTTCAGTGCAGAATCACCAAAAGACAGTGATATCAGAGACCAGACTCTGGGGGAGACAAGAGGTTCTGCCTAACATCTTACTCCTACTCCTGTTTGGCTGAAGCAACATGTACCCTGAAACCCCATCTGCTGGGGAACCCTTGACATTCACCTCCAATGCTTAGAGAAAAGCTAAGATTCAACTAGTTCATACATGGAAGGCAGATACCACTGCTTTCTACACATTTTTGGTCACATTGATCATAATTATGGTGGTTTAATGTTTCTGAGTTATTAAATGAGTTCATGATACTGTTACAGACAGTCTCTGAAACTGTCAGAGGTGCTATGAGATTTTCTGAAAGCAACATTTTATAGAAATGAAGATGCTAACATCCCTTCTACTAACATCATCATAGGTACAAATTAGAAGGTGATATTTGTTAGCTAATAAGACTCGGGGAAAATCTGGAAAAATCCTACTTCTCTCCTAGCTGTGCAACAAATGCTTTGAGATTATATCAAACTCTCACTGGTCTAGAGATTTGGAAAGAATAGCAAAAGGTGAAGATGTGTTTTCTTACGTTATTTTTGACCAAGTGGAAAAAGTGATTTTTTAAGATTGTTGTTAAATAAAACATGAAATTCAAGAAATTTAAAACAAAATGAAATCATACCAATTTTGATTACAGCAACAAACCAAAGTTCAGTTATATCTAGTTGCTGTAGAACTTTCGATGCACGTGGTTTATATTTTAATTAAAAAAATGAAGATATTTAAATGCAGATTAGGGGAGGGAGGAATTGGAGTGAGGGAAGGAAAGTAGAACAAGAAAGGATGAAGGGAGGGGAAGTAAGAAGAGCAGAGGAGAGAAACGAAGAGGGAAGAAGAAAGGAGAGGGAGGTAGACAGAGACTGGCAGCAAACAAGACAGAGAGAAAAAGGGAAAATGTATACACTCTTTTTTCCATCAAAATAAGGTTTTCTTTTTTTAATTTCTTATTTATTTGTTTATTTTGAGAGAGAGCGCTCATGCCAGCAGGGGGAGGGACAGAGAAAGAGGAGAGAGAGTCCCAAACAGGCTCCTTCTGTCTGCACAGAGCCCGACCTGGAGCTCCCTCTCAGGAACCATGAGATCATGACCTGAGCGAGCTGAAATCAAGAGCTGTTGCTTAAGTCACTGAGTCACCCAGTTACCCCAATAAGTAGGGTTTTCACTCACTTACAAAGTTGTAGTAGTATGCATTTTTTAGATTAACTGATTGATTATACCTACCATATTAGGTTTATAATCTTGCAAACAACGTTTTAGTTTTATTCTGAAGAATTCATATAAGATTCCTGGACTCAGCAGGATTCTGCTGTTGTTTGGGGAATGTTTTCTGTTCATCAGAAACCTGATTAAGCTTATTCTTTCCTGAAGAGAATAAAAGCTAAAGGCTATAATTTAAGCTTGCATTTTTCAATGCCTATTTTGCTTTTAACATGTATAATTCTAACAGTTTTACATCTGGATTTTCACACTGAAACCACCCAAGTATTCAAAGAAGCTTTCCTCACAAATTTAAAATCTCTTGAGTTCTAAATTCTATTTAATATTTTGGTTCAGTACTCTCACAGTCTTCTCTTTTTTAATGTCTCTTTATTTATTTTGAGAGAGTGTGTGCATGTGCACATGCAACCAGGGAAGGGGAGGGGGTGGAACAGAGAGAGAAGAGAAAAGAGAATCCCAAGCAGGTTCCATGATGTCAGTGCAGAGAGACACGCGGGGCTTGATCTCATGAATCAAACCATGAGATCAAGAGTCAGATGCTTAACTGACTGAGCCACTCAGGCACTTCTTAAACTTCTTAAGTAAACTTAATTTTGTTTGTAATTTTATTCAAATTTTTCCAAGGTGATAGATTTCATACTAACAAAATCCTGGTAAGACAGATATGACTAAATATTTCACTATTTTTAGCTTTCATTATTTCACAGATCTCCTATCAAATCAAAGTTCCCTAAAATAGAATACGATATGAGTTTGCATTCTCTAATTTGTTTTGTTTCAGAAATCTCATTTTGCCAGAGGCAAACAGATAAATGCAATCTATAGTATTTTCACATTCAAATCTTAATAGTGGGAATTGGAATCACAGGCTTGTATCAATAGCTTTAATTGTTGCTGCTTCCACCTGAAGGAATGTCAACAGTAAATGAGAGAGAACTCCATCAGTGACAGGGCTTTGAATGAGAGGAAGGCCTCAGAAAGAAATAGAACGAACAAAGGTTTTATACCTATATGGAACTGGCCTCAGCACCCAGCGAACATTGAAACTTTCAATAGATATGCACAGCAAAAGCACAGCTCCACCGTAGAACCAATACAAAGCAGTCCTATTAGAGTGATAAACATGTGGTATGAGAATTTTTTCTGCCTCTTCTCCTCTTGCACCTCTTAACTGCTGAAAATGAAAAATACCTTTCCATTTCTAGGCTGTCCAGAGCAAAATCAGAAACTTGCAGGTGTTCACACTCTTGATCTACCCACTGCTGGCGCCGTACTACTATAAGAACAGACATCCTTCAGAAGCTCATTAAGTTCCCAAACACAGAAAATCATTTTGCTAGAGAAATTGGTTTTAAATGTGAAGCTCATGATGAACTCAGAAACCAGTAATATTATATAATGTGGGATGCTTAAATTTTTATCATTAGAGAATCTGAGAATATTTTATCGATTGAATCACTGCACCTAAAAAAACAAGTGTAATTCTGTATATTAAACTTTGTGTTTTTAAACATTGATTTTTCACCTTATCACGTGTATCTTAGATTATACAGATGAACGGGAAGACTGTGCACTACATCTTTCCTCATGCAAGGATAAAAATAACAAGAGACTCTAAGGATCACACGGTTTCAGGTAAAGGAAATCAAATAACCTTCTTTTTTATTTTAATGTCAGGTTGGGATATGTATTTGGATTTCAGTTCAGACGGCTTCCCAAATTTTAGAAGACACTTTTTTTATGTCAAAAATTGTGTTTTTGAGGATTTCCAAAAATAAGCAGACCATACTTTTGAACATAAAAGATTATAATGGCATAGTTATTAATCTGCCAGATTACTGATGGGTACATCTTTAGGTCTTTTTTTATTAAATGCATTTTTAAAACATACATGGTATCATAATGCCCCATGATCCTTCCCCTATTGAGCAATATGGTAACTGGTTTTAGAACTGTGAAATATTCTTTACAGGAAATAGAGAACTACTATATTTATAGGTGATATATCTAACATGGTATACATGCTGGAGGGCAGTTTTTTCTTAAAGACTGATACAACCAAGGACAAAAATAGGTATTTTTTTCAGTTTGCTTGCTGTTGTTCCTTGCACATTTTGGACCATGGAGCACGTGGATGTGGAACAGGTTTTGCTCTGAGCAACTTTCCACTATTTTCATAGAGGATGAATTGTTTAGGAACCTAATGTTGTTTCCTTTTAAGATTGGGCAATTTTTCTCCTATCAGAGACAGATCATTTAAACTTCCAGAGTTTCACTGCATGCACACGGTATTTTAAGTAATGATGAAAATCCCATGATTGAATCTCAAGATCCATGGGCTCTATGGATTAGAATAATTACTATGGAACAACTCTATGGAATAATTAGTTCTACAGGCTATTTCAGTTCCCTCCAGCTAATAAAGCAAAACAACATAGTACTTCCACAGCAATGCCAATTTTGTTTTCAATGCCAGCAATAGATAGAAATCTTCAAACTGTTTAACTAAATCATCAGAATTCTATATTAATGAATCTATTTTCTAGCTGTAGTCTTACTTTTATACTGTATTTATCATCCTTCAACCTTATTTGTCTTTTGCAACTCATTATTTTAATTTGCTTTCCTTTACCCATTAGAAAAAAAAGTTTTAAATATAAAAAAGACAGAAATAATAGCGATTAATATCTCGTTGTACATACTGTAGTCTGAAAACTAAATTCATTTTCCTCTGTATGTAGATTTTACAAAATGAGAAGCAAGAATCATTGTTTTAAACAATACATTTACTAGTAATATACTGTATCATCGCTCTGCATGCACCTTTTGCTTTTGATATTTACCTAATATAGAAGTAAAAATATTTTCCCCATTATATTTCCCTGCATTAATTACTATTGAATATATTTTCCATGTATCCTTGGATAGCATGATCTCATAGTAAATTAAATGTTTGGATACACTCATATTGTTTTTAACTAAGTCCCCAGTACCTCCAAGGGATTTAAGTACACATATATGCACAACCAAAGCCATGACATATTGGATACACTTTTAATTAGTTATTTGTTAATATTTGCTGATTGAACACACCTAGTGTGATTTATATTGTGTTCATTGCAAGACTAATAGAATGAATACAACACAGACTCTTATCTAAACTGTTCTCATAATTTGGTAGTAAAATCTGAAATATAAGTAATAGAAAGAATACAACACAGACTCTTATCTAAACTACTCATAATTTGGTAGTAAAATCTGAAATATAAGTAATTATTACAGTAGAATTTTAGGAACAACTGAGACAAAACCAAGGAATTTATATATAACTTTTATTTTTCATACCTGTACACACACACACACACATATATATGCATCATTATTTATATTTTTATGATGTTCACAGAGAGAAATATATGCATATACATATGTACACACACACATATATATGCATCTTTATTTATATTTTTATGATGTTTGCAGAGAGAAATATATGCATACAATCTTCTGTTAAGTGATCTGTAATTTTTAGGAAATAGATTCTTTAACTGTTAACTGTAAACTTCAAAGATATAGGTACTGATCAACAACTGTATGATGGTTTTGAAAGTCTTTATTCAGCTCACCACAAGGCAACAAAATAAAGAGAATAGATAGTGAATTTTTGCAGAAAGACCTGAGTTAGAGTTCAACTCTATTGGCTTATGTAAATTTTGAGAATAAATTTGCTCATCTGTAAAATAAGACCAACTCTCTGTATCTCACATAATTGCAAATGAACCTAGCACAAATTCCTATACTTACTATACACTCAACAAATGTTATTTCCTCTTCTCTTAGAAATTATCAGAAGAAAAAAAAAAAAAGAATAAAATGTAACACTAAAGAAATGAGTCTCTTTTTTATTTAAAACCATCTTATGGCTCTAGAAACACAGCTGTTTCAAACAAGCCAAAGAAATTCTTCTGATTTCAAAAAGATATTTGCTTATGTATAGTTCCATAATGGACTGGCTACATCTGCAAGGCTAGAAAGACTAATTAGAAAGTGTAATAGTGAAGAACACCAAATATGTTTAGGTTCAAAAGACAGCAGTATCTAGAAATCGTGGCTCATTTTCTGTTCTTCGTTAGTCTACCATCTTTATGAGCTTTTAGAAATAGGAGACAAATGTAACAGATCTCATTGGATCTGAGTTGGTAGCAATACCAAACATGGATAGCTCATTATGGATAGCTATTTAAATAAATAGCTTTAATAAGGCATAATTTACATATCATGAATGCACACATTGTAAGTGTACAAATCAATTACTTTTAGTAAATTTGTGGAATTGTGTGACCATCACCACAATCTTGTTTTAGAACAAGTCATTACAAAAAATTCCCTCAAGCCTGGTAGCAATATCCACCTTCAACGCTCCAGCCACAGGCAGGAGATTTACATTCAGTCTCCAAGTCTGCCCTTTTATAAATTTAATAATACGGTATTCAGTTTTAGTGTCTGGCTCCTTTCACTTATCAACATTTTGAAGTTTGTTTTATCGTATGTATCAGTCGTTTGATCTTTGTATTGCTAAGTACATTGCTAAGTACTCCATTGTTTGGCTATTCTACATTTATTTTATCCATTGGATTTCTCCCAGTTTTTAAATATTTGCACACAAGCTTGAGTTTAAACATATGATATGTTTTAATGATTTCTTAGAAGTGGAATTGTTGGGTTCTATAGTTAAGTTTCTTTTTCACTATTTAAGAAACTGGCAAATAGTTTTTTAAAATGAGTCTACCATATTACATGCTCACCAGCAATATCTGAGAGTTCCACTTTCTCTGTGTCATTGCCAACACTTGATAATGTTTATTTTTTGGGTGGGTGTAGATGATAACTCTCTGTTTTAGCTTCTGTTTTCCTAATGACTTATGGTAATTAGTATATTTCAGTTGGTTATAAACAACAGATATGTCTTCTTTGGTGAACTGTTTGTTCAGATACCTTGCCCATTGTTTATTTGGGTGGTTTGTCTTCTTACTGAGTTGTATGAATTCATTATATATTTTGGATACTAATCCTTTATAGGGTATATATAACTTGAATATATTTTCATCTAGTCTGTGTCTCCTGCTTTTAACAAATTATTTTAAGGGAAAAGTATTACATATTAATGGAATTCAGTTTGTCAATATTTTGTTTCTTTACAGACCAGGCTGAGTTCTTGATAGAGTATTAAGAATTATCCTGAGGTCATAAAGATTTTCTCTTATTTTTTATAGCAGAAGCATTATACATTTTGGTTTCTGACCTATTTAGTGTTGGTTTTTGTATATGGTGTGAGGCAGAAGACCACATTCTTTTTTTTTTTTTTAAACACAAATGAATATCTATTTGTGTAGGCACCTTAAAGAAAATCCCCATTGAATTGCTTTGGCACATTTGTCAAAAAACAATCTACCATTAATGTAAGGGTTCTTTTTGGCTATGGAACTAACTTTTATTTCACCACCCCTATACTTTCTTGCTTATTATTGTTTTATCTTAGGTTATGAACTCTGGTGTTGTAAGTCTCCCTTTTCAAAACTGTTTCAGCTGTTATAGATCCTTTTAATTTTTATAATATTTTAGTATCAGTCTTCTGGGATTAAGATAGGGGTTGCATTGAAATTATAGGTCATTTTGGAGAGAAGTGCTATTTTAACAACACTGAGCCATTTCATCCATGAACATGTAATATTTCTTCATTTACTTAGATCTTCTTCAGTATTTTTCAGTAAAGTTTTATAGTTTTCATTGTAGAAGACTAGCATGTCTTTTGTTAAATATGTCCCAAATTATTTTATTATTTTTGTTGCTCTTTTAAATGGTGTTGTTTCTTAATTTCAGTTTTGGACTATTCATTGCAGTTTTATAGAAATACAATTGATTTTTGTATATTGATCTTTCAGCTTATAATCTTGCTAATGTTGTTTTTTGTTTACTAGTTTTCTCGTGTGGAATTGTTGAGATTTTCTGAGGATGCACGTTCACCTCATCTGCATATAAAGAAAGCTTTACTTCTTCCTTCCCAACTAGAATAGTAAATTGATTTTTTTTCTTATTGCACTTACTAAAACTTAGTGTACAGTGTTGAACAGAGCAGTGAGAATAGACATCCTTGCTTTGTTCCTAAAGAATGTTGGCAACTAATTGTAAAGAGAAATCAGGGACTCTGCCCTATCCCTGCCGTAGAATTCCTTTCTCTCCTCCCCTTCATTAATACTCACTGGAAGTGATTTTTTGGACTAACATTTTAAAAAGCAGAACAGAAGTGTTTCAGAATAGCTTTAAAAGCACAACAGCTAATTAAACTTAATTTTATTTTATTTTTTCAAATAGTAGTGGATTACAGAGATGAGAGTTACAAGAGAAAGTATAACTTTCACTCTGGGAACATGTCTGTTCCATCCTAATTGCTGGAACTTCACTAGATCCTACAAGGTGGGCCTTGACACAGAAATTTCTTTCCCATTTAGGAGGACTTCTTTACTTTCATTCTCATTTTAAAAGTATACTTATATACATAACAATTTCTCATTCTAAGAGTACAATCATATATGATACAGTTTCTCATTGTAAGCTTCTCAAATTATTTTTAGGGA